ACTTCTTTCCTTTATTAGTTATATTTTCTAGTTTTGTGTATATATTTGACATGTCTCTTTAGGTAAATACTAAACTACTTAAGGGCAGAAGCTATGATTTGGATCTTAAAATACTATCTAGTATTAAATATGCAATAGGTGCTTAATGCATTTTATACCACCCTCCAAATGTAAGTAAATGGCTGTAAAAAGTTAAACTCCTTGAAAGAATAAAGGCTCTGTATTAGTAAATATGAACAATTTAAAGGATTACTGTACTGTAGAAATTCTTAAACTGAAAAAAAGAGAGCTTTAAAAACCTTATTTTATAAAGCTAATCAAATGCAGACCACTCATTCAAATTTCCATTGTATGTGTTTTTTGGGAGGGAGTATATATGGTCAGTTGCATCTTATTCTGGATATTAAACTTTAATTTAGCACCTAAGACAAAATTTAGCATTTCAGTAAAAATTATCCTTGAAAATCACATGTATTGCCTATAAATAACACACATCGGTTTGTATATAAAACTCCATAAGTATAATGCAGGCTGAGGACCACCAACCAGTGAACTAGACTAAAGTCAATGGAAAGTTCACACAAGCATGGCCATTCAAAATATTCTACCTTTAAGGAAATAATGATCAAGACTCCTACTGGTGAGCGTTGGGGGTGAAGGTGGTATTATCCTTTGAGTGCAGGGTTTATCCCCTTTTCTTTAAGTCTCTGAGAACTTAATACATTTTAATGCATTTGTCTGTTGTTGTAAAGATTAAACAAGAGTATCCTAGTTCTTAAACATAGAATAAAAATTAAATGTAGCTCTGATATATCTCCAGTGTAGACAATTTCACCATCAACGGAAAATGTAACTTTAAACACCAGGTTGCCTAGATCAGCCATTTCGAATTGTGCTCCCTGCAACACACTTTGCTGGGAGTGAGGCAGTGGGGTGTGTGGAACTGAGTGGTGTTCCCCAATCCTGCGGCAAATGGAGCACAATCCAATTTCATCTTTTTCTTCTGAATAACATTGAAACAGAGTTCCATAGACTCTTTTAGAAAGTTTGAAAGTCACAAATGTGCATCATTTCAGAAAACACCAGGTACAATTACAGTTTTCCTGGACACTAAAATATTTTAGGCTTTATAAGAATGTACAGAATCATCTAGTAGCACACAGTATTTTTTAATAAATCAACAGAGTCAGCTCCATTTCGCCTTTACCTACTTGTAATATAATCTAAGTAGTTTAGATTCATTGACCACAGAAAATGAAACCACAGCACTGTATTCGTATCTTGAAAATCTGCCCAAAATCAACATTGCCTGAAAGAAATGGCCAGAAGGAAGCAAATAAGTTTTACCCTTCTATTTAATGGGTTAAGGGCGAATATTTAGCTTCTGCATTCATGATGGAGATGGGAAGAAAGGAGCCAACATTCATTCAGCACCTGCTATTTGGTAGGCACTTTTATAAAAAGGTATCATCATATCACTTTATATTATTGCAACAAAGCTAGAGACTATTAATTCCAATTCAAGAATGAAGAGACTGAAGTGCAGAAAAGTTAAACATAACTTGACCAAGATCATGCGATGCAGTGCCTCAGCGACAGAATCAGGATAAGCATCTGTTTTGTCCACCTGGCATTTACTGAGTAGTTACGAAGTGCCACTGTGTGTTAATTTTCACAACTGTATGCAGCAGAAATGAGTATTACCTCTATTTTACAAAAGATAAAACTGAGGTTACACACCTAGTCCGAGGTAAAACTGTTATTTGTACCCAGGTTCACTTGGTGTAGTGTCTGTACTCTTAACCACTGAATTTCCTTGTGAAACTCTATTCAGCTTCCAGCTCAATGGATAAAACTTTAAAACCACGTACCTAATGTACCTTAAGTCAACTTCTAATTATCTGTCCTAATGATAGGAGTGCCCTGGATGATATGAAATCATATTCTCTAAAACCTCTGCATTTAGTGTTATAATGTGTTGCATATTTGCATTTCAAGGCTATGAATGGGATGTTGTGGGGGAGCAATAAAAGTACAAGAAAAATAACAATGCTATTCTGAGTAACATTTAAAGCAAGAAATAGTTAGCAATGTAACTTGCTAATTTGGTTCCCCTACTTAAAATCATTTTCCTTTTTCTATTCTCAGATAAGAAATCTCATCTATTTTTATATTTAAATACAGCACCACGCTAAATTGAGCTATTTTCTCCCCTCCCTGCCCTTTATTGTTTTTCTTGCTAAGTCATAAGAAATAAAAAAATGTCTTGGCCTTAAAAATCTGCTAGTCTAGCCTTGGCCCGTGTTGCTCAGTGGTTGTAGCACTGGCCCTCATACCAAAGGGTCTTGGGTTCAATTCCAGGTCAAGGGCACATGCCTGGGTTGCTGGTTCCATCCCGCTTCGGGAGGCAACCAACTGATATGTGTGTGTCTGTCTCTCTCTTTCTCTCTCTCTCTCTCTCTCTGCCCCCCCCCCTTTTTCTCCCTCCTACTCTCCCTTCCACTCTCTCTAAAAATCAACAGGAAAATATTCTAAGGTGAGTATTAACAAAGCAAAACAAAAAATCTGCTATTCTAAAAGAGATTTTTAAAAATTATGCCAATATAGGGGTTTATGATCAATTTGCTTAATTATGTTGATTAAATCATCAGGAGATTTGTTGTAGATGACATACTTTACTTAATTCAACCAACTCCCACAAAAATTTAAATGGACTCTAAAGGAACATCAGATAAAAAATTTGCCCTAGCTGGTTTGGCTCAGTGGTTTAGAGTGTTGGCCTGTGGATGAAGGGTCCTAGGTTCAATTCCAGCCAAGGGCACCTACCTTGGTTGCAGGCTCGACCCAGGTCAGGGCAAAAATGGGAGGCAACCACTTGATGTCTCTCTCTCACATTGATATTTCTCTCCCCTCCCCCCTTTCCACTCTCCCTGAAAAAACAATGAAAAAAATATCCTCAGTGAGGATTAAAAAAAAAAATTGAATATAGTTACTGGTAAATCTATGGTAAAGGAAAGTATTTTTTGTTTGTTAATCCTCACCAAGGATATTTTTTTCCATTGATTTTTAGAGACAGTAGGGGGGCAGGGGGTGCCAGGGATCAAATCTGCAACCCAGGTATGTGCCCTTGACCGGAAATCCAACCTGAGACCCCCCCCAGTGCCACCAGCCAGGGTGGAAAGTATTCTTAACTTTTAAGTGTTAAATGATATCACAAAGCAATCATACAATATCATTAACTTTCTCCTATACTCACCAAAGTTAGAAAATAAATGCATACTAAGGTGAAACAAGTATAAGAAAATATGCTAGAAGTCAAACTGCAGAACTAGAAAAGAACTGTGAGAAACAAAGCCCGTATTTTAATGGAAAATATGATACATATCAAATTATAAAAGAGTCCAGAAAGAATTCAATGTCACAATAAGGGATATTATAAGTGCTTTGAAACTTTACTATTGAAATATAATAGCTCCTGAGCGCTATCCAGGTAGCTCAGCTGGTTATAGCATTGTCCCAATACGCCAAGGTTGCGGGTTCTATCCCCCGTCAGGGCACATATAAGAATCAACCAATGAATGCATAAATAAGTAGAACAACAAATTGATGTCTCTCTCTCTCAAAGCGATTAAAAAAGAAGAAGAAATATAAATAAAATAGCTCCTCGTTAAGGAATAAAGACACATTACAACTCTGCCTAATTTTTTTAGGGATAAGAGAGAATCTCTTACGTTTCTCCTCTGCCTCCTATTCATACTTTAAAACATAAGAATAACTTTACTGTAACATTTTTCTTTTTTAGTATAAGCCTGGCCACAAACAAAATAATACTTATGCAGCACACCTACCTTACACCCAAAATAAGACTAGCTTCTCGCCTACTCATTTTCTGTTCAAATCCTCCTTTATAGTAGGATGAAAGGTTCTGTACAGGAAAAAAAGAGCAAGAAATAATTAGTTCCATGTATGAGGTGGCATGAGCTCAATCCCATCACACAGGTGCAGTAATAATGCACTTTGCTAGGAGTCATCTTGAAATCATGAGGGACGGAAGAGAGCTAAACAATGATCCTTTACTAACACAACGCTGAACACCTAAAAAATGTTAACAATTTTTTTAACTTTCAAATACAATAGTTTTTCTACACTGAGATATAACTGAAAGAATAAGAGATCGGCAGAAGCAAAAGGCTTGAACTTTTTCTAAGTCTTGCAGTAATTTTCTCATTGAATAACCTTGGCCAAGTCATTTAATGTGATATGACCGACACTGTTTTAACCTACTAGACTGACTGACAGAGAAATACGAGGAGGGACTGACGAAGTGGGGAGGATGTCAGGAAGGCAGGTAGGCAGGCCAAGAGGGGCTGGGACACCGGACTGAAAGGTCATGCGGCCAGAGGGGCATGGGCAAGGAGAGGAGTATGGAGAGGTAATTAGGGCCAGATTGTGGAAGGCCTTGTAAACAATGGAAATAGTTTAGAATTTTATTCTCAGAAGCCAGAGCACTGCAGTAACATAATTTGACTTTATTTTGAAAGGATTCCTCCAACAACTGCTATGCAGAGAACAGAAAGAAAGATGGAACAGTGGGAGCAGACTAGTTAAGAGGACATAACAATAACCTAGGCAAGAGATGACGGTGGCATGGATCAATGTGGCAATAAAAGAGGACGCGAAAGTGGTCAGATTCTGAATGTATTTTGAAAACTAACATTTGCTTCGTGGACAAAATGTGGGATATGAAAAAAGGAGAGGAATTAAAGATGATGTCGTAAACACTATTATACAGTGTGCAGATTCCCCTTTGGAAGTGAAGGACTTACTCCTTAGACCCTGGGACTGCTGCTGGCAGATAGCGCTCAGCTGTCAAACTCTTTAGGAATTGCCTTGGCTGAAGAAAGTCAAGATCATGGCCCCTTCCCAGGGCAATCTCTTACAAGCGGTCGACATGGGGGTATAACCAGTATAGTTATTGAGGGCTTAGTGCTTGGACTTCTTATCTATATTCAACTCTCAAGTGATGTCATTTAGTCTGATGGCTCCTTGCCCCAACTTGGGACAACCAAAATGAGCCATCTGATCTTCCAGCACTGCAGCCTAAATTGTCCCTACATCCTTTGTCCTTCCCCCTTTCCAAGTTCTTGACCCTAAGGGCACTCCATAATAAACTAACAGCTCGCTCATCTTTGTCTCAGTCTGTCTTGCAGAGAACTTTAAATGACTTTAAGGTCTCTGGCTTAAACTGCCAAACTGCCACTTATTGACTTAGTGAAGGAGCAGTTGTTTGTTTGTTGTGGGTAATAGATACCAGGAGATTGATTTTGGTTATATTAAGTTTGAAACGTCTATTAAATACCTAAGTGGAGGAGAAGTGTGACCTGAATATAACATTTGAGAGTCGTAAGTGTACAAACAGTATTTAAAGCCATGAGACTGAATGAGATCACCTAAAGAGTGAGCACAGACAAGAAGTCCAAAGACTGAATCTTAGAGACTATGATGTTTAGTGGCACAGAAACGGAAGGAATCAGTAAAGGAAACGGAGAAGATCCAGCAGTGAGGTAGGAAGAAGAGCAGAAGCCTAAGAGTGAGAAAGTCAAAAATAGTCTCAAATGCTTCTGACAGGTCAAGTAAAATTTGAGCTGAGAATTGACTACTGGATTTAGCAGAGTCAAAAATTCTGATGGGAGTGGGAGTGAGAGTCTAATTAAAGTGATTTTATGAGAAAATAGGAGGAAGGGAATGGGAGACAGTAAGTAAAGACAACTCTTTTCAGAACCCCTTAGAGAAACAGGATCGATGAACTCAATTTTTAGAAGGAAAAAGAATGCATACGATTGAATGAATACATGTTTCTAAAACATGAACCCATATTTTTGTTAAAAAATAATAATAAAGTGTATGTTTGCATAAAACAAAATCTGAAATACATACACCAAAATGTTGTTTTAGAGTGGTGGGATTTTATGAATAATTTTTTCTTTCCTTATTTTTATTTTCTAAATTTTGAACAGTGAACACAGGCTACCTGTAAAAAAATTTTTTAAAAGAACTAAATAAAAAAGCCCACGGAACTAATCAGAGCTTTAAAAAAATGAGTCCCAGGCAGATCTGTTCATTTATATAAGCTGCTCTCTTTGAATATCCTATTATAAATTTCTACTTGGTAATAATTCACTCAACAAACATTCCAGCACCTACTTTGTGCCAGGAACTTTTTACATGAGACAGGTCAAATTCTGTCCCTCATCACATAGATGCTAATCTATCAATGTACCAATACTGTGAGAAATATGATGTACTATTCCAAGTTTCAAATAATTTACCATTTAATAAGAAAACAAAAAAACACACCTTTCTCCAAGTTGTGAGAGGAGAAAAGGAATCAAATGGTTTAAGCACACATACTAACACAAATTATATATATATGTATGCACATACACACAGGGAAATATATATATGGATAGGGGATTTTAAAGAGGAAGAGCCCAGCTGGGCATGGCTCAGTGGTTGAGCGTCGACCTAGGATCCAGGCGATCAGGGTTCGATTCCCGGTCAGGGCACATGCCCAGGTTGCGGGTTCAGTCCCCAGTTGGGGGCGTGCAGGAGGCAGCCGATCAATGACTCTCTCATCATTGATGTTTCCATCTCTCTCTCCCTCTCCTTTCCTCTCTCTGAAATCAATAAAGATATATTTTTTAAAAAAATAAATAAATAAAAGAGGAAGAATAGCTGGTTGTAAAGTTTCTCTCGGGAGACCCAAATTTTTCCTAGATGCATACCATACTCCCTGATATTTTGATGAGCTCCTTAGGGAGCTCCAAAATTTCAAATTGTCAGCATAATAAACATAAATTGATGATGTTTCATGAACTGTCATTCCTACTATCGTCACGAAGCTTTTTAGCCCTAAAAGAAAGTACTGTATCTGATCAATTGTTTTCACTTTCAGTTTTGCCAAGGTGGAAAAGGAAACTCAGAAAAGACTACTTAAACTGTAGCATCTGGATGAGGCTCATATCCTAAAACACAGACCTACTATGAGTAAGTCAATCTGCACATATGTAGTCATTACAACCCTTCTAAAAGAACTATATCATTTTGAGGATAGAAATTTAATATTTGGGTGCCTTATACAGAAAAGCAGACAGAGAAAAAATTGCTCATGTTACTCAGCACATTTCTTCAGAAAAAATCATGCCTTCTACACTCATATGAAATTTAGGTTTTATATATATAATTTTAAATAGAATAATAATTTTATCAGTTTTAAAATATATTCTACTTAAATTAGTATTTGTGTCATGAGTAAGCACAAAATTGTAACTGTACCCCTTTACCCCCATATAAAATATAACAAAAAGACCCTTTCAAGCTTATAAATAATATACCAATATTGCATTATATTAGCACATACAGATATAATGCAATGCAGGATCATTTTGACACTAGTGGGCCAAGGAAATGTTAATCCATAAAAATAAGATTATTGTGATAAAGAACAACTATATCATCAAAAAGACAAAGTAGGGGGTTATAGTTTTCTAACAGAATTTCTAAGAACAGAAATAATAGGATTCCATTAGTTTTATTATGCTGTCTATTTGATATATGCGTTGAAACTTACACATTATTTTGTATTTTCTATTCATAAAGTACATACAAGGGCAGGCAAAAGTAAGTTTACAGTTGTTCATATGGAAAAATATATAATACAAGAATAAATACTAATACAAGAATAAACTCTGTGTTTTGTGTAATCACAACTGTAAACCTACTTTTACCCACCCCTGTGTATGAACAACAGAAATCAAAATCAATTTCCTTCTAAAATTAGCATTAAATGTTGTAGTGCCATATATTATCAAAGGATACGTATATGAAGTGAACCCAGTTACACAAAATTCATTAGCTAATTTACTCAGTCAATAGTTTGAAATACAGCCCAGCCGGAAGTGGCTCAGTGGTTAAGCATTGACCTAGGATCCAGGAGATCAAGGTTCGGTTCCTGGTCAGGACACATGCCTGGGTCAAGGTTCGGTTCCCGGTCGGGGCACATGCCTGGGTTGCAGGCTCGATCCCCAATCCGGGGCGTGCAGGAGGCAGCTGGTCAATGACGACTTTCTCATCATTGATGTTTCTATTTCTCTCTCTCCCTGTCCCTTCCTCTCTCTCAAATCAATAAAGATACATTAAAAAAAAAAAATAGTTTGAAACACAAAAGTCCCTCCAGACAACCAGAGAACTGTATCATTCCACAGTCTTAAGAGAAGAAATACATTTACCATAAACTATAAACTTTTATTATGTACAATAATCTATTTGATTTATAGGGCAACAGAAAGGTAATTTTAATTAGTGTTATTTCCACGAATTTCGCTTAACCATAAACAATAGAAGTTTAATTTTTTAAAAAAACAGTATTCAAGTAAAAGGACAAATTCACATATAGGAAAATAAAAGCCTCAAAAGAAGATAAATGACTTGTTTTATTTTCCCCCCAGGAAAAAAATTAGGGGTAGACATTAGCTGATTCAATAGTATACATTAATACTTTAAAAACCAAGCAAAAGGGTATTGGTTCAAAACAGCAGACTGAATAATATAGGTCTTTTGCTTTCCAGAGTGACCTTGAAATGAGAAAAAGTTAAACAATGAAAATCCATAATAGGCCTAGAAAACAAGAAATGGGACAAGTAGCAAACCAGAAATTCCTGGAAGACTGAAAACAAATAAGATTGCATATACAGAAAAGTCACAGCACCCTAATCTTACCACAGGAAAGAAACACTTCTCAGAAATCAAGGGCAAAGAAACTAAATTCAGAGTCAACAAATAGAAAAAATAATATCAGGGTAATTAAACCAGGACATGCACCTGTGATGCATCTTATTGTGGGAGGCAGGTCCCAAGAGAAACAAAGAGTAACAACAGATCACATTTCAGAACTCGGAAGGCTGGAGAGGGGGGCAGTTACACCAAGTACTCTGCTCCTGGACTCTGGAGGTCCCAAGCCTGACTCTGGGCTCCTTGCTTTGGAAGACATGACTATTGACATAGGCTACCTATGTATTCACAAACCACTGTCAATCCTATTTGAATCCTTTTGAATGTTAATCCACATTCAATTAAATTTTGAAGCAAGCCTACCAAATTGCTGAGTAAGGACACTTATATTAATCAACTTGGTACTCATAAACATAAATCAACAGCCAAGAATCATCAGACATTTAAACAAATCCAATATCACAGGGGGAAAAACACCAAGATGAACAATTAGGCCATGCATCGGGACCAGGCCACGTCTTGGTACTGGTGGATATCCGCAGTCCACACATTAGGCACCTAGACCATGTTGGGCTTCCTTGATTTTCTTCAGCCAGAAAAAGAGCAACCAAGCCATTAGGTGATGAAGTAGAACAAAAAGATATCTCAACAAAGGGAATCCCTGAGCCAACTAGTAAATTAGAGCAAAAGGATGAAATAACTGAGCCCCCAAAATGGTTTTATGTAGGAAATGACTGTCACATATAAAGAAGATTTTGTTCAAATTACTGACAAGTTCCTCAACTATTGGAAATCATGGACTGGTGGCCCTAGACCAGAATGATGACTGACTGCTGAATTCTGAAAGCCAGGACTTTGGTTCACCATATAAATTTGATAGATGCCTTAATTTCCATTTTATGTTTGTGATAAATGTATGCATTTAATTTTGCTGTAAAATATGATCACTAATAATAGGCAATAAATATTTCGTTCAGAAAAAAAAGATGAACAACTAACAACTGGCTTTGAAGGAAGGAGATAAATCAGGAAGCAGGAGAACTTAAAATGCGAACTAGTGTTTTTAAAAATATTCAAAGAAATAACACATTCATAAAAGAATTAAGTTGCTATGAAAAAGAAACAAAAAGAATTCTTGGATATTAAAAAAATTATTGATGTAAGAAATTATTGATTAAGAAATTATTTACTGGATGGACTGAATAACTGAATGGCCATTGCCAAAGGCCAACCTGGTGAAAATAATGCCTGGAAATACTGTGGAATGTAGAATGAAAGGATAAAGGAGATAGGAAATAAGAGATAAAATGAATGTTAAGAGATATAAACGATAGATTCCGAGGTCCAACATCTGATAAGAGTTCCAGAAGCAGAAAAAAGAGACAACAAAAAAAAAGAAGAAAAAACAAAGAAAAAATATAAGAGAATCTTACAAAACAAAAGATAGGCAATTTCACATAGTTAAGGCTCACTAAGAATTCCTTCAAATTTCAGAACAACAGTAATAAAGAAAAAATCCCCTAAATTTGCAGAGATAAACAAACAAAAATCACCAAAACCTAAAAACCAAAAAGCACAAACAAAAGAAAATCAAAAGAGTACAAAGGAATAAGAACACCAGGAAATCTGCTGAGAGTCTGAGGACCAAAAATATCTGGCTTCAAGTACACAGGAAAGCACGCACAAGGGCACTGAGTTTCAGTCTGAGCAGAGATGCCTGCACTTCTCTAATACTGGAGCCACCAGATTCCAAGGAGCCAACATCTAAATGATAATTAACAGTGAGGGCAGGGTGAAAGAAACAAACTGTTCAACAAAGAACTTAAAACATTTATCATCCATGCATCTCATATGAAAAATCCATTCACCCCATATGAAAAATTAGGCAGCATTCTAGCAAAATGAAAAAAGAAAAAAGTATGAGAAAAAGAAAGATGAGATTTAAGAATTAAGATGATGCTAAAGTATAGAGGAAGCAAGTTTTAAGAAAAATTTTATAAAGATATTCTAAGATGTTTCACTGCAAACCACAAGTACTTTGTGAAAACAAGGCAAAATTTATCAAAAGCCATGTTTCTTAACTTGAAGCCCACAGGAAAGGGAAAAGGGGGCATGTATCATTTCTCTCTCCCTAAGAGATGTAGGTGCCGAGTTCAGTATACACAGGACAGTCTCTTGAACTACTCTACCTTATCTGAGAGCCTCCACAGAGCAGTGACAATTTTCTTTTTCTTACTCTCTCATCCTGTATAATGTTAAATAACGTAGTTCTACAGAACTTGGGAGTCTTCTTTTTATAGTATAAATATAACTCCTGAAGATCACCATAAAAGATAAATGGTTTCTAAAATTTTCTCCATTAATTATATGTAAACATATGGAAAGACATAAATAATGTTTATTTAAAGAACTATGTCACTATTTCCATTCCTATTACTCTAGTTCAATCCACTGTCATTTATTACCTGGACTGTCTCAAGGCCTTGTAATGGTTTTCATGGCTTCTACTCCACTTCATTCTAGTCTGTATTCTATGCAGCAGGCAGAGTAATAATCTAAGATAAAAAAAATCACACTGCCTCCATGCTCAAAGCCTTCCATAGGCTTTCCATTATACTTAAAGGAAAAACTGCAGTTCTTATCACAGTCTATTAGGCCCTAAGTGATCTGGGCCCAAACTACCACTATTCCCTTCACACACTCCACTGGAGTTCCTCTTGCTGCTAACCTCATTTCCATCTCAGGACCTCTGCAGTGTTCCCAGTGTCTAGAAAACTCTTTCTTTAGGTGTTCACAGGGCCTGCTTGCTCATCTTCTCAGAGTCCTTCACTGACCTACCAATATAGATTCCTCTCTGCTGTTACTCTGTAACCTCTTAATCTCATTTAGTTTCCTTAAAAGCATTCAGCACTTCTACATATTATATATTTTACATATTCATCTGTTAATTGTCTTCACTGAAAATGTAAGCTCCTAGATGGCAGTGTCTTTGTCTGGTTCATTACTATAGCCCACTCTACACAATAATGCCTGGTTTATAGTAGGTGCTTAAATAATATTTACTGAACAAATGCTAAATACCTATTAATAGTTTAGTCAGATAAAATATAAATAGGAAAACAGAAAACACATGCTTCCTCTAATCAGAGATATACATTTATAGATCTGCAAAATCTCTTGCAGTTCTTTTGAACCTGAGTTTGTCAATGTTATCCTTTAAAAGTGAGGTGGTTATTTATGACTAACTAAGCTACACAAACTTATAATGCTTTTGCTAAAACAAGACATTCTTTCTCAAATTGCTGCAAGCCAAGGTGTCCCATCCCAGATCCGCTTCTATTTCCCAGATGTCAATGGTTATGCTGCACTGCTTCAGTGAATTCTCTGCATTGTCTCCAGTGGTCACAAACCATAGTTTACCGCACTATAGCGTTTAGATATCTACTATCACTTATTCTTCACTTATATTCAGGTCGGCAGGGCAGCTATAATGCTGGTAGATAAATGTAAAAGCCCTACAGGATCTCAAGGTTGGAATCTTATCATTTTATGTTTGAGATGGCCAGTTGTGGTGGTACAAGGGGGCTAGTTTCAAATTTCAGGATGAAATAAACACTTGGGTAAGCACTGCAGAGACCATGTATGTTTTGTTCACCAGCCATACCCCGCTCCTGGCACAGGGACTGGTTTATAGTACAAAATCACTAAGTGAATAAATGAATATTAATTAAACAAGGAAAATAAATTACCTCAAAACTGGTGTAATAATACTAAAGGAATATAACAGTGAGAAATAGATGTCAAAACCAGAAAAAAGGTTAGATATAAAAATAATGTGACCAAGAAGCCTAAAAGAATATAAATCAATAAATGAGGCAAACTCTCTGATGATATAACAAAAGAAGTAAAACTTATACAAAGTTGGAAAATTCAAGACATTTTCTGAATTACTATCAAATATGATATTTAAACAAAAATCAAAATAAGCTTTCTAATAAAAGTCATCTTTAACTTACAGGAGTTGCAATCTTCTTTGCAGTTTCTGTGATTACTTGTTCTAGAGGTTTCCAGGTCTGAAATACATAGCGACCTGAATAGTAACAAGAATAGAAGCAAATATATTTTCTATAATCAAAGTCAATACCCACAAGGTGCTTACCACAGTATTTACTGATAATTTATTTTATATGTTATTTTTACATTTTTTCAAATTCCTAATTTATTGAATATCATTATCATGGCTATTAAATTTATCAAGTTCTAGTTCATTATTATAAAGTCAAAAATAGCAATGTTATGTATAATATCTTACATTTTTATACAATGTTATAGGTCACACAAAAATCTTATACTCTTTCCACTATAAAGTATAGGTGAAGTCCTTTAACATAAAGATACTCATGAATATAAAATGATTATCTCTATTGTTTTCACAGTAACAATCACTTGAAATATAAGGAAAACACATACTGTTTAGAATCTATACAACACAGGAGTGATTTTAATGGAGTTAGCTCTAAACTAAAAAAGCAATTATATAGGAAATACTTTCCAAGGATGTTTACTAGCAATTTCTCACTGAAGATGACTACTCTTCTAAAAATTTATTTTATTTTAGTGCTTTCCTTTCTTAGGGATCCTAATAATCAAAATTCTTGAGTCCTGCCCAGCCGGGCATGGCTCAGCGGTTGAGCATCGACCTAGGATCCAGGTGATCAGGGTTTGATTCCCGGTCAGGGCACATGCCTGGGTTGTGGGCTCAATCAATGACTCTCTCATCATTGATGTTTCTATCTCTCTCTCTCCCTCTCCTTTCCTCTCTCTAAAATCAATAAAGATATATTTAAAAAAAAAAAAAAAATTCTCAAATCCTGACAACTAAAAATCAATAGCAAAAGAGGATCTACATTGTTTTGAGGGCATAGAAACAAGAATAAAATATTATCTGACTAGTTTACCTTTTGTACCAAAAATCAGGATGTGTACACTAATACTACTGTCTCTTTTCCCAAAAGTCTTGGTAGACAACGAGTCTGACACTCTAGACTTCAATTCCTAACTATAAGCTTATTTGCAAATCAAGATTTTCACTGGGAAAGATCAACTACACAGATCTTTTATTCTTGCACAAATATGTTATAGTAAAAACAGGATGCTAGACATGGGAAGATGTGAAGTAGCTAATGTAATTAGGAAATAAAAAGCTCTTGAGATCAAGGAGAACATTAAATAAAGTAATATTAAGTGAGGCTGAAACCCTAACTCATCCAAATTTCTTATCATATAGATATCAACTTCCATTTGATTTATAATACAAAATATAGCTTTTAAATTACCTCAAAATTCCTTCAAAACACACACAATCAGGCAGACTAGAAAAAAGTCAGTTAAAGGCTTCAGGAAGTGACACCTGGGTTTACTTTAACCATATGCCAGAAGACCTAGTTCCATAAAAGTCTAAGTGTACTTTCTCCTAAATTCTATTATTCAGTTGTACATAGCTCTGGAAAAAATCTGCCTTTAATATCCTAGTTAGTAATATGAATTTGGCAACAGTGTGGTATGTACAGAATAAAACACCAATTCTTCTCATTTTAAAAGGCCTTGGCAAAAGTACATCCTTCTCTAATTTCAAATAAAAATCTTACATTTAAGTTTGAAATAACTATACCTATTCTACTATAATTAATACTAAAATTATTTTATGGTTATGGGGCAAGTTTATCAGAATTCCTATTTAGACATGATATTCTTCTCAGGAAAACTCAGTAATTAGTTAACTATAACATATGAGACACAAGACCTTGATGGCATGTAGACCAAAAGAATCTAAACCACTTATCTTCTCATTTTAAAGTTCTTATTGTTAAGGTGTTTTAAACAAGGCTTGTATGAAATTAAATACTACACAAAACAGAACAAAAATCATTTTTCTATTGGATCTTACTAAACTCCATATAACTACAATGGAAAGTATCTTCATCTAAAAAGATCCAATTAACAAGAGCAAATCCTTGGAACTTAGAAAAACAAATACTAAACCAAAAAAGTGCAAGTCTTTATCAACAAGGAAATGCTCTAAAATTAACGTTAATTAGCCCGGCCTGGCATGACTCAGCGGCTGAGTGTCGACCTAAGATCCAGGCAATCGGAGTTCGATTCCCGGTCAGGGCACATGCCCGGGTTGCGGGCTGCAGCCGATCAATGACTCTGCTATTGATGTTTCTCTCTCTCTCTCTCCCTCCCTCTCCTTTCCTCTCTCTAAAATCAATAAAGATATTTAAAAAAAATAAATTAAATTAAATTAACGTTAATTAGGGGAGAGCTATGCAATTTAAAACTTTAAGTTGGTGACTCTAAACTATAAGCTGAAGAGAGAGCAATTCTGCTTTAAATCTTTATAACTATTCTTTCTAAAAAAGTGATTTTGGCAGTTTATCAAAGACATTATACCAATACATTAAAAATGAAGTAGTAAGTACACTACAGGGAACAACTACGCTCTCCAGCCAAGAACTGATAGCTCATGAAATGTGTAACCTCACCTGCAAGAATAAATATGGGAGAAGAAACAAACCCCATATCAATTATACTGCTTCATATTAAAGATGTTTTATTTATAGTACACTATAGCTCAGACTGCAAATTTGCCAGGAAGATCCACTATTATTGGGGCTAATTTTCCTAGCTTTTTTTATCATTACTTTTCTTCACCACAAAGTTTATCTAGATACTGCTACACTGACAAATGTTCAGTGACTATAAATGGTGGAGAAAATGGGGATGTATAATGTCTTAAAACCAAAAGCCTCAGAATGCTAAGAGTCTGCTTATGAATCACTATAGGAGCAATTTGGAAATATTTCTTTTATAATATTTATTGATATGTATCCTTTATTTATCTTACCCACAAATGCAAAAGCTGCAACGCCCAGTCCTACAGCTATCAGGCTTCTTGCCTATGGAGGAAAAAATGATAATCACTTACAGTGTTATACACTGGGTTTTAAATGTAAATCATTTTCAATAATGTGAATAATTATGTTAAATACTACATTTTCTTCAAGCTCTGCTGTGAATAGAACTTAAAAAATTCTGCAGTCTAGCCCAGCCGGCTTGGCTCAGTGGCTGAACATCAACCTATGACCCAGGGGATCGTGGTTCAATTCCGGGTCAGGGCACACCCCCAGGTTGCAGGCTCGATCCCCAGGAGGGGAAGTGCAGGAGGCAGCCAATCAGTGACTCTCTCATCATTGATGTTTCTCTCCCTCCCTCCCTCTCCTTTCGTCTCTCTGAAATCAATAAAGACATATTAAAATAATAATAATAAATTTAAAAATCTGCAGTCTATGGGATTATATCTGCTGTGCACTATATCAGCTAATTTTCAGTGAACTAAAAATATTCTAGATTTTCATTTAATGTCCATATATTTGAATTCACCTAAACCTAGAGCTTTTATATTACCTATTGCTAAAATATTTTCTATAGACTATTCTTAACAGTGGATTTAATATATTTATCTTCTATAAAAATTTTAAAAGGTACATATTTCCTCTTTCATTACACTTGCGATACTCAGTGGCATTTGCTATATATAAAAATTTAGTAAAACATTACATCCATGTTTAGTAAATATGTCAAACTTCCAAAAACTATTTAAAATGATAATTTTAAAGCTAGTCTATTTCTACTTTTCTAGAACATAAAAAATTTAAAACAAGGGCCAAGAATTCAGAATCTAAAGTTATGAGCTCATTCTGATAAAAATCTATTTTAAATTGGTATATACTCCATATTATTATATACACTTTTCAGTCTCAGCCCTCCATCTTACAACTCAACAACAATTTGAAATGAATCCAGTCTGTTCTCCAGTAAGACTCGAGCTTAAAAAAAAAAAAATTTTCTGCCCTGGCCAAGTAGCTCAGTTGGTTAGTGTCGTCCCAATATGCCAAGGTTGTGGGTTTGATCTCCAGTCAGGGCACATACAAGAAGCAACCAATGAATACATAAATAAGTGGAACAACAAATAGGTATTTCTCTTTCCCTCTCTCCCCCTTCTTCTCTCTCGAAAATCAATAAAAAATAAAAATAATTCTGCTAGAACTTATGGATTTAACTCTCACACCACATTAATCACTTTAGGAAAACATGTACAAAACGGCCGGCTAAGCATAGCTCAGAGTTGAGTATTGACCTAAGATCCAGGAGATCGAGGTTCGATTCCTGGTCAGGGCTCAATCCCCAGCAGGGGGTGTGCAGGAGGCAGCTGATCAATGACTCTCACCATTGAGGTTTCTCTCTTTCCCTCTCCCTGAAATCAATAAAATATATTAAAAGCCCAGCCAGGCATGGCTCAGTGGTTGAGCGTCAACCTAGGATCCAGGCGATCGGGGTTCGATTCCCGGTCAGGGCACATGCCCGGATTGTGGGCTGCAGCCGATCAATGACTCTCAACACTGATGTTTCTCTCTCTCTCCATTCCTCTCTCTGAAATCAATAAAGATATATTTTAAAAAATAATAAAATAAAATAAAATATATTAAAAAAACCAAAACACGTATGACACAACAGAAAAAGGTTTATGTAGCAGAGTTCAATGGTTGTTCCCTCTCTCCCCCAATATCCATTCTCTTCTTCTATGGGGTAAAGAATTCCATTTTTAGCCAGACATATTTCCAAGCCTTCCTCAGTAAGGATACAGAATTAGGGAGAATTAAGGAAAGATACCATAGAAATGTTTTTGTCTGATTAGTGGTGTGAAAGGTAAATCCTTTTTTTAAAAGCTAGAATAATCTGACCAAGAAACAGAATGGATTCATTTCCCATTGTTGCAGAAGTTCTAAGATAAAGGGGTGTGACTGAATCAACAGCTAAAAACCAAAAATCCCTTCAGCCATCATCAGTCTTCAAGTTCCTCAGAGGAATGAATACAAGTCTAAGCCCTACTCTTCAAGAGAAGACTATAATGAGAAATTTCAGGTCATAAAGGACATGTATGCTGGAGCTCTAACTTTAATATCCAGTAAGGAGGTGAGTACTGACTGATATGAAGATGTTCTGCCCTAGCTGGTTTGCCTCTGTGGTTACAGTGTCAGCCCTAAGACTGCACAGTCTAGGGTTCAGTTCCAGTCAAGTACAGGTACTCTGGTTGCAGGCTCGATCCCCAGCCCTGTTGCGGTGCGCTCAGGAGGCAACCAATTGATGTGTCTCTCTCACACTGATATTTCTGTTTCTCTCTCTCTCCCTTCCACTCTCTCTGAAAAGCAATGGAAATCCTTGGGTGAGGATTAAAAAGAAAAAGAAAGAAAGAAAAGAAAGGAAAAGGAGGAAAGGAAGGGAGGGAGGGAGAAACAGA